TGAGAAGATGCCACCCTAATAAAACCGAGAAAGATTTGAAATACTTTCAAACACTCAAACATAAATTTCAGAAGAGACCTACACTGGATAGAATGTTGGCTTCGACGTCACAAAGAAATGATGATGGTTTGCCGGCGTCTTACAATATCTCGTTAGTTATAGCAAAATCCGGAAAACCGCATACTATCGGAGAGAAGTTAATTTTGCCACCCGTTGAAGAGGTTTTAAAAACTGTCTTACACAAACCTGCATCTGATATCATTAAAAGAATTCCCTTAAGCAACAATACTGTTGAAAGACGTATTGATGAAATGAGTTCTGATATTGAAAGCTTCCTATGTAATTATTTGCAAACGACCCATTTCTCTATACAACTGGACGAGTCAACTTTACCTGATAATGCAGCATTATTATTGGCATATGTTCGTTTTATTATGAATCAAGAAATCTACGAAGAACTGCTCTTCGCAAGAACTTTGATAACCGACACTAAAGGTGAATCAATATTTCATGTTTTGAAGGATTACTTCATTGAAAAAGCAATTCCTTTATCAAATATAATATCAGTAGCTACAGATGGAGCACCTGCCATAGTTGGACGTTATCGTGGATCTATAAGCTATTTAAAACAAAATGTGTCAGGGGTGTTAGCAATACATTGCGTCATCCATCGACAACATTTAGTTGCTAAAAATTTGAGTGTTAGATTGCATGAATCACTTCATTTAGTCATTGATGCAGTAAACTGAATCCGAAGCAACGCGTTGAATACGCGGTTATTTGCGCAGTGTGAAGAAAATGACGAACACTTTCATCAATTACTCCTTCACACTGAAGTACGCTGGCTGTCGAAAGGCTTATGTTTGACAAGTTTTTTTACACTTTTTGAGACTATTTTAGAATTTCTGGATACTAAAGATAAAATTTTAAAGGAAAATTTAATGAAGAGGAAAACAGATTTGTTTACAAAATTTAATATGGTTAATTTGCAGTTACAAGGCGACAGTTTAAATTTGATTAACACAAAGTCCATCTTATCAGCGTTTCTTGCCAGAGTTAAACTAATGAAGCAAAATATTGGACGGGGCGAATTTTCTCAGTTCCCCAATTTGTCACAGACAAGCTGCCAGGAAGACGACGTTTCAACTTACGTTCAACATTTAAATGCCCTCTATTCAGATTTTGAATCTAGGTTTGATGATATTTTGATACCACCGTGCATAGTTAATCCATATGGTGACATAGAAGAAAAGAATGTCACAAAACAAGAGGAACTGACTGAACTAAGTACAAACGAGGAACTTAAGGCTCAGTTTAAAAACGGATATCAGCAATTCTGGCTGCAAAACAACATACCCGTTACTTATCCCGTATTATGGAATAAAGCGAGGAAATTTTTAATTTCCTTTCCATCGTCATACCTGTTACCAATCTCCTAACGAAAAAAAGAAACAGACTGGACATCATTAGCCGAGGAGATTTAAGATTAACCCTTACAAAATTGACGCCAAATGTTGATAATTTATTATTAAAGCATCAGGTTCATCCTTCTCACTAAAAATATTGACTTATTGCTTATGTTATTTTATTTATAGTTTATTTTATGTTTATTGATGTCTGATCAATAAATGCCCGCATTGGGAATAAGTGCCCGCATTGATTTTTTTAAAGAACCCCCCTTTATAGAAAATATTTTTTTTTTAATTATTCTGAAAATTCAAGGATAGGTACACACTACAATTCGTTAATTTTTTGCCTATTTTTAGATAACTTAAACGTATAAGAAGCGGAATTTAATCAAACTAACAGTGAAATTATTTTAGAACATACGTTTATGTTATAATTAATAAACGAACTCGCTTATTATGCTATTTTAAGTAAAAAACTTTTTTTTTTATTATTTTTCACTTTTTTTTTTATTTCATCCCTCTTATTTTTTTTCAATGCGGGCACTTATTCCTAATGCGGGCACTTATTGGTCAGACAGCTGTTTATTTAATGTTACGTATATTTTACATAACAGATACAAAATTTTATTTTGAGTAGCTTTAATTCAAATTCAATTAATGAATGTATAAATTAACATGTGTTTTAACTTTAAGCTTTTAACACTAAACTTCACTACAGTTAGAAATTTACAGGAAATCAATATCAGATAAGTAGGGGGTCTACCCAACACGGAAAAACATGGCAAGGGGTCTACGACACAAAAAAGTTTGGGGAACTCTGGTCTAGGCGGTCCGTAGGAGCTTTGCCCATAAGTCACTGCCTAATGAAAGTTAGTCAAGTTTGTCAGTCCGGGTTGCCCAGAAACCAATGTCAAGGAATAAGAGAAATGGAAAGAGAAAAAAAAGGGAGAAGAGCAAAGAACAACAGAGGTGTCCCAGTTTAAGAGGAAACACTTGGTTTTTTATCTTGGTTCAGGGATTAATTCTGGAGTGAACTAAAAACAAATTTTGATTCAGGTATTGTTAGAGTGTCGTTTTGGGTTTGCTGAAAGTGTGCTAATTTTGTATTGCAGTGCGAGCCGTGGGCTTGAATCTTTACAAACATGCTCCACTGTGTAGGCCACTGAGCCGCGCAACGGAGGATTGCTGTGCGACTCCGCTTGACTATATTCGTCGCTGAAGCATGGCGTAATCCCTCAAGTAATAAATTTCAAGGTCTCTGCTAGGTGATGCCTTTATCAAGGGTGACACCGAAATACCTGCCAGAATTTTTCCATGGTATACGATTTCTGTCTACAGAATGCCTTTTCGAATGATTAATTTTACTCACGTACCGTTCCGCCCACTCTAGTACCTCCTCCACCGCACCTTACTAAACAGCGTGAACCAGATCATCAGTACATGACTGGGCGACAAGTTCAGTGTCGTCAGCGTAGAGGTAGTTTGGTCCTAGAACCGAGCTCTGCAGCAGCCCTTACTTGCCGTTTTGTTGACAAAACATTGTTAATTTTGATCCGAAACTTTTTTCGTTCTAGAAAGGATTGCAGTAGTGGTCTAATCATATTATCAAAAATCCCCGGAATAATTGTAAAGTCTGGTTTTATTGGTGCAAGTTGTTCAAGGGCGTATTTATACTTGACCGCATAAAATGGGTACACCAATTTTTGTGTTAAAACTTTTTGACAACAAATAATGAGAAAACGTGTTTTTGGGATTCAGTTGAAAAAGGAACTAAAAAACTCTACCTACAGAATGAGACTACACGTGAAAAGATCCGACTAATAGCAGAAATGTTATAGCTGAAAAACGAGACAAAATGCAGGATTTGGCACTTGTTGGTAATGCGACGATAATTTCACGCAACTACTTGAAATTCTTCTAATCCGCATGATTCATACTTCTAAATAACAACAACAAAATAGGAGTATATTGGTCAAGTAGTTCCAGTTTTTAAAATTTCTAATTGTTTATCCCAAAACACCTGTTTTCCGGCCAACACTACTAGTTTATTAAGCAATATACTGAGTTCGTTCAAAGAGCATTTAATAGCAAAAAATGTTACACGTGTTTATCTTCCGATATGAATCACAAACCATTCCGAAAAACATACATTACTATACACATTTTAAAACAAAGCGGATGTGTCATCCTTTGTTGCGAATTACTCACAAACTCGAAATGCTTGAATTTGTTTAGAAGAAAAAACGTAAGCCATCCGTTTTTGCATAAAAATATATTTACCTGCCGGAATGGTTTGCGATTCATATCGGCAAGGTAAACTAGTGTATTTTGCTATAAAATGCCCTTTGAACTAACCCTGTATATTGCTCAATAAACTAGTAGTGATGGCCAAGACACAAAATATCTCATTTTTGAAATGTATTGGGACTACAACATCTTATCAATTGGCAAGGAAAGTGAAGATTAATGGTGAACAATAGTAAAGCATCTTAGTATTGGTGACGAATACATTCTAGAGATGTCGCGGCTTATATAGACGATGGCTTACAGAAATCTGTTATTTGAATTTTGACTTATGGTATTTTTTCAAGATTTCAAAAAGACTGGACATAATGATCAAAAACGAGTTGAATATGCCTCCAACACATCTGACAAATAGTCGTCGTACACGCAAAATGTCCTTAAGTAGAAGAGGAAGCATTATTCTGAGCACGTCATATAACAGCCTGCCTCATGCATTTTACTTATAAAAATAATATTAATATCATTCATAATTGTATTCAATACTGGCATTCATGGGAGAAATCCCATAAAATTGTAATAACAGTATTTTTGGACACAACACTAAGGAGAGTATGGAGATTTCTTACAAAAGTTGACGCAGCAAAATTTGTAAAAATACCTAAGTTTTGAAGTAAGACACCATCAAGTGCCATCTATTACCAGAATCAAGCGCTGCGAGAGAGAAAATATCAAGCTTTTCACATAACATTCTTCATAATTCGACAAATTTCAGGATTCAATCATACAAAGTTCAAAGTAACATAATGACCGTGAAACCAATTTGATCGTACTTGCACTTGACCCCTTTTTTCAGTGCTTTTTTCTGAGTTGTGGAAGGCTAATTTGTCTTTACTTGGTGCTTTGAATCCATGAGCATAAAAAATAGGATATAAAATGGGTATACATTTTTTGATTCACTTACTTTCTCCTAGTTCCAACGCTGTCGGCATAGTATCGCCTAAGTAGGTGCTCCTCGCCAATAGACAAATACCAACTAACCGCGTGTCAGTGCACTGCTTTACTTATTCATATTGCTAATTTATTTATCGACAATGCTCATGAAGTAAATTAGAACGAACATACAGCAAAAGACGAAAGAGCGTATATAAAATATAAAAGGTATCAATAGTTCAAAGGCACAACGCGGAAATAATACTCACAAGAGATTCAAGGCTGTAATCATCCCTTTATTGATTGCCGTGGAAGCACATATAGACTCCCAACACTTTGTTTTATAAATTTTCTTTGAAGTCGTACGCGTTTAACTCGAGTATCTACGCCAACTCTGATCAATAACATAAATGAACCATGAAAAAGATCACTTCCATACGAGGTATGATCGCAAAGAACTATAAACTCGGTGAAAATTTTCTGGAGATTATTGTTACGTGAATGTCTGCTAATCATCTTTAATCAAGGTTGTCTCATCTCACTTACCCCGCATCTGACGCGGAACTATTGTAATCTCGAAAAATTGGAAAATGAGGGATGTTTTTAACCGTACTTTCTATGCTTGCCCAAAAAGATCATAGACGCTGATGGTACCACTTAGAAAAGAGGGCATAACTAGCAAACAATACAAAGTTAACAGTACAAGAGGCACTCGCGAAAAAGCCTTTGATCTTCTGACTTTTGCCGACATTTTTCTAAGAACTCGGATCTTAAGGTGCCTCTCTTGAAGAAGCCCCGCACTTTTTTATTGCTTTATACATGGTTGTGCTGTCGTACTGGGGAGCACGTATGGAAAAGGTTGTCAAAAAATTGTTAGTAATGACATCGAGTAATTGTATTTATACAGGGTCATTATTGTTTTTTGTAGCATGGTCAATGGGTGAGCAATATCCTTTGCTTAAAGAAATTGCGAATTGAAAACTACGTTTCATCCTCTACGTCATGATGTATCCTTTGTCATTGTGTAACCTCAGTAAGCACTGTACCGATTTTGTCCAAACTTAGAATATACTGTATGGTCACAAGTTTGGAGCTGGAGTAAAAAATAATTATTTTTCAAATATTCTTATCTATACTTAGGTAAAGAAAAAGTGAAATAAAGAACATAAAATGAAGTGAATCAAATGAACTATTAGCTACACAAGATATGGTATAAATGCTACTGTAGGAGGTATACGGTTATTAGCTGTCCTAAACAAATCTACAGATCAACCTAGTAATATAGCTTTCGTCCGACCGACCACAGACGGCCAATCATGGATAGCTATTTGGCAACTCCTCAGCATGGTGTGTAGGCTTAGTGTCGGGTAGGTCAATGTAATAAAAATGAAGGCTGAGCCTATCCACAGTCTATCGAAATAAGACAGAAAAAAGTGCCATATGTTACCAGAATTGACCACTGCCAATTGTATTTACTTTGGCAGTGGTCGATTCTGGTAACAGATGGCACTTTGTTCTGTCTTATTTCGATAAAGTGAAAATACGAATGCGACACATGATGATGGATCCCTCAAGAACTAAGAACTCCGGACGTAAACTCACTCCACTCTCGGAATGTCCGGGTGGAGGGTGGGCTCTAGGTAACAACATCGAAGATAAAATTTGTCTTTCGAACATCTGCGGGATTAACAGCAACATTGATGCTGTTCATCACTACCTGCAATCCAATCGTCCCGCCGTGCTTTTCTTGGCGGAGACAAAAATCTCAAAGTCTTCACCAATTCACCATCTTAACTTCCCAAACTAGGGGGGAACTCCAATCTAAGAAATAACGGGGGAGTTGTGGCTTTTGTCCGCAGCAGTCTTTCCTGCTCCGGAGATGTTTCTTTGGAATCAGACCGAAAGGACATTCTGGGCTTCGCCTCAACTTCAAAACATCATCCAAATTTATTTGTTGCCTTAATCGCTCTCCCTCGGGACGAGCCCTACTTTTTTCCCCCGCGTCTCGTCACACGCCAGTAGCCTGCTGGATCTCTTTCTGACCACGCATCCTGTCCCTTACATCACTGCTGTCCTGTCCGCCCCCCCCCCCCTCCACTGTGGCAGTAGAAGCTCGTACAGGCAGCAACACTTGGTATTACGGACATGCCGACTGGGAGGGGCTCGGGGCTCAGAGACTTCTACTCTAGCTTTCCTCGGAGAGATGTATGTTTCAGTGACGCGGAAGCATCGGCTGTCGTTTCTTCGGTAACAGAAATTATCCACGTCGGAATGTAGGAATACATCCCTCACACAGTGAAAGTGCCTAAACCAGGGTCCAACGGCTGGTTTAACAAATCGTGTGACACTGCTCGCCAGCTGAAGATCAAGACACACAGAACCTTCTTACAAAACCCCACTGTAGAGAACCATATTTCGCCTCCATTCTTCTACTATCATTTGAATTGCTATTTCAGTAGAATACTTTTTTCTGAATCCTGCTTGAAATTTTGTCAATATCTTATTTTCTTCAATATATTCAATGACTTGGTCATATATGATTGCTTCTAAGAGCTTCTCGACATCTGGCACTACATTAATTGGCCGCATGTTTGTATATAACTCAGAAGTTTGCACTTTTGGAACAGGAGTAATTGTAGAACATTTTAATTTTGAAGGAAATTCGCCATACACTAAACAATGATTCACTAACAATAATAACTTCTCTCCAATAATGTTGAAATATTCCTTTATAACCATTTTTGAAAAATGTTCACTAGGATTTCGATTCGATTTCAATCTTGTAATAGCTTATTGTGGCATATTGGGTTTTGTTCCATCGAAGTCTGCAATACTTTCTTGATAAAATTGTAGATCCGCCCAGCTATGGCGACATTACCAAAGCTTCGAAGCTTCGAATCTCCTTTGCAAGATGCATGGTTGCTTCATACAGGATATGTCTAGATGTAATTTTGTCTTTTATATTCCATGATATTAGTATCGCAGCAGAATTATAAAAGTGGGAAAATAGAGTTTTATTGCGGGGTTACGAGCGTGCAAAATGGTTGTTTCGCTAGCATTTACGACAATCGTAGCAGTTTTACTGACTAAGATACTCGTATAAGGGGTATGACGGAAATGGAACATAACCTATTTGCTGGATTGCAGAATACTGCGATAAGCAGATAAATTACAGAGACAAAATTGAGAATTAAATTGATGCTAAGATTTATGGTTGACTCGTTATATAGGATAGGAGAAGTACACAAGCTCCATTTTTATGTCGAGACTTTTCCTAGAAAGCACAGTTTCAGTTCGAAGAAAGATATCATACCTTCTACCAATCAGGACTATCAGCGTCATTCCATTGAAGAATAACATCATTTTAGATGGTGTACATCTACGGAGCGAAGTACCTAGTGGGGACAGTTATGTCGATTACCGCGCACGTGGTAGACGAAAAGGGAAACATCGTCGGGCAGATAGTGGAATATCGGCGTGACCCTTATTGTAAAATCTGTATGTTGTATGACACCACCTGTGAGCAGTTTTTTTGAGCTTTCTCGAGACAAAACTTGACAGGTGTTGTCACCAAAAATTACTTACATTTGATAACAAGTAATTGGTCTCCTAGGACATGAAAAAACGACACTGAAAATTTTTTCTGATTTTACTGTCAATAAATTTTGTAAGCAGAATAATCTGTTACTCATGAAATAGTCTGGTCAAATATCATTCGGGCATCTAATTTCTTCCTGTGAAAAAAAAACGATAAAACACAATGCCAATATACAGGGTGGCGCATCGAAAACGAAACAGACGCATTTACTGGCAGCTTAGCTTTTTTTAAAAAAAAAACGCTCAGACCCGTCGATTTTGTTTTCGAGGGGGACACAAGTTTGGTAAAAAATCACGTTAGCACGTGCAGCCCCCTAAGCGGGGGTGACACCACCCCCGAAATATTAAATGGAAAGGGGTATCGAGTGATACCGTATTTTAAAGGTCTCTCAATTCCCTTTATAATGATATAAAATTAATGTACTTCAGTTCAGTATTTTTGAAGATTTATTAATTTAAAGCTTAAATAAAACTAATACATCATCATTAGTGGAGATCAATATATTTGGCAGCAAATTAATTTAAAAATGAAAAATGAACTGACCCTTTAGGCAAGTAAATGTTGAAAATGGCCACCATGACCCTCCGTGCAAGGGGGCTCTTGGATAGTGCATATTATGCTGTCCAAGCTTGTAAATTACTAATCTAGTAATCCAGCACGAGGCGATGAATAGATTCGAACATAGTTCGATTTCCGGGAATACTCAAAGTATATTCAATACCAAACCGATGCTGTTTATTAATAGCTTGACAACTCCGGTGGTAACTTCCGAACTTATCAACTACGAGGTTTGCTCAAGTTTAATCAGTTTAGTGTATAGTTCAGACGTATCCTAGCGGCTCCCTGACCCAGACAAATTCATTGAGATTAACAGAGCGGAGATCGCATCCCAGTAACTTTTGTAACCCTTCGTCAGTTCTATTGATTAGAAACCGCTCACTAACCTGATCCGTCGAATATTATGTTTCTTGCAACGATATCGGTGTAAAGCGATTTTATTATTCGGTATTGTTGGATTTTCTTCATACAATAAATTTTATATGGTGTCGTATCTTTCTGGTCAGGAATCGACACTACGATATTGACATGGTGGGTACCATGGACGACAACAATACTGCTGCTAGACACTGGCTATGGAAACGGTCTACATATATGCGTACGTTAGAGCTAAAACCTGTTTTTACTTGTGAAATAACGCATTTTCTGTAGCAAAAATCAGTTTCTACTATGTGCCTGCCAACTAGTAAAGGGGTGCTATAAGTTTTTGTTTAAAGAACCCTTGAGCTGTATAAGCTCTCCTTTATTGTTGCCACAAAACGTCTTAATGTTGTGTGAAATACAAATTTGCTTCCTGAAACACATTTGCTCTAAAACATTCTTGTATCAAACTTCCAGCACACCTCACAGGATGAATTTTGAACCATTGCAAAACCGTTTATACAACTACTTTAAGTGGTATATTAGCTCGGTAGTCAAAATAGCTGTGGCATCCATGGTAACATTTATATTTACAACAAACCCGAGCGCCTTGTTGTTTTGGTGTACAAAATTAGGCCAACGAGTTGCTCCCAACGCCAAATTGCTGTATAGCACTTGCTAATAACATCAAAACATTCTAATAAACCACAGACAAGGTGGAAGATGTCATGATTATACATAACCACTCTTGGAATTATCTGACAAAATAAATGGTTATTTTTATAGAAAGAAGTGCACATACTTTTCACAATTCTTTATTCGCTGGAAGTGCCTGAAACATCGTCCGAATGGTTAATATTAATTATTACAGGTTTAATTTACATATCTATCGTATTGTCCAGATCCCACATCTTTGTTTCGATTGG